GCTCCGAGCGCTTTCTGGCAGTCTTTGTTTGTAACAAAGCTTTCTATTGGTCGGTAAACTTTCTATCGCGCAACCACGTGACATACACGGTTATGAATGGTATTACCGCACGGTGTTGTAGAGGGAGGAATGTCCGAACGGAACAACACCGTGCAGGCGGACGATGACTTTGCTAGCAACACGTTGATTTCTATATTCAACCATTTTAATTTTACCATGGAGCAAGCTCCATGATTTTACAAAGTATTGTAAAATGACTAATTTTCACTGGGTTTAAATTTGCTGATTTACCATTTCAAGCATATTTAGCGGGTTTTAAATTCACGGTTTTATCATTTAGATAATGTGTTCTATAATGCAAATGAGCCCAAGTAAATAGAGTACACTTCGTGGTGAAATCTGACAAGGGTTGATGCACACCCTGTCCAGGAACTTAGTATAATCAACTGTACCAGGGAGCTGTAATGAGTCTCATTACAGCTCCCTGACTGTACGCACTCCCTATGAGCGGGGGAGGTATCGGCTGGTATCTAGTGTAAGAAATAGACAAGGGATGAAGGTTCCAGCAAGCTCATATTTTTAAACTGGAAAAAACAGACAAACAGAATGAAAAATAAAATCTATAAAAATACCAGGTTGAAGAATATTAGTTGCTCTTTCAAATTTTGCCAAAGCCTTACCTAGTATATTTTACCTATATCTGCAGAATAAATCAAGAAAACTACACAAATTTACTCTTTTTATGAATAATTAACGGTTGGCCCGAACGCACGGCACAGTTGGAGACGTGGCCTGTTCAGAATTTGTCAAAAACCAATCACAAGACTGGTTACGAACCAGTTGAGCGAGGCTAGGGACTGTGGCCTGTGCGCGAACGCTCAGCACGGGCTAAGAAATGCTAAGTAAGGCCGCACTGATTTAATTTTATGGATGACATCCTCTGGAGACCCCAAAACTAATGCGAGAGTGCGAAAAAAAAAATCAAATCTTTATTTGTAGGAGACACATGTTGATGTACACATCTCGTACTGTATTACTGTAACATGTATAACCATTTCAGACAAGCTCTAGTACATGTAGTCATGATGAAGTACCTTCAGTCAGAAACACTGCATTCAATGTACAGCATGAACACCATTTTCAGTACAAGTCAAGACGGAATGTACATATCACTACTTTATGACAATGACTTTATGACTTTATTATACTTACTTTATTAACTATTAACAAAACATTGCAATGATACAGAAATGTCCTTGCTTGGTCGCCATGTTGGAATTCCCAGCAACACTATACGCATGTACAGAAGATCATTTACGACATAACTGACACGTTTTGAGGTAGTCCAAAACGAGTTTTACGACAAACCGGCGTTTTGCAACAATATGAGTTGGCAAGTTCCAGACTGAAAACCGATCTGTGGAGACTCGTCGTGGGAGATTTTTTTTTTTTTTTTTTTTTTTTTTTTTTTTTGAGAACAGGCGAAAACTAATGCGCGCGTGGATGTCATCCATAAAATTAAGTCGGTGTGGCCTAAGGATTAAATCTGGTCTGTCTTAAGGCCCGGCCCAACCCTTAGCACGGGTAATGAAGTGTGCGTGAACGCTTAGCTCATGGCTAAACACCATTGTATTCAATGTTCGTTTGGACGATTTACTATTACATGTATATTCATAATCATTGATTTTGGCATGCCATCCCCGATATGGCAATCAACGCGAGCGCATCTACGGACATTGTTCTTGAGAAAAAAAAAAAAAATTAAGGGGCGGACCAGTTGATATCCTGGGGGCCAGGAAGATTGAAATGAAGCCTATTTTTTTCCCCTATCTGATATGATTTTTTTTGCAGACCTTGTCTCTAATTTTATTTATTTTTTGCACTTTTTGCTACAGTAGCCTCGAAAATTACATTGAGGCAACCAAAGTTGAGATATCCAAAATTACTACCAATAAACACAAACAAAACATGAATTTTGCCGAAAGAACATCAATAAATGATAACACATTTGTAATAAAACCATTCGAGAAAGGTCGTGGCATTGCAATCATGAATACAACTGACTATATAATAATAATAATAATAATAATAATAATAATAATAATAATAATAATAATAATAATAATAATAATAATAATAATAATAATAATAATAATAATAATAATAACTTAATAAATAACTTCATTACATCCTTAGAAATACAATGTTTCTATCTGTTAATAGCAAGAAAGATTAGTTGTGATAACTACTACTTCAAAAAGAAAGTTAGTTGTTAAAAGGATAAAGCAAGTGTTACATATCAAATGGCATTTTCATTTCTTGATTGAAATGAGTTATGAATATAGTTGCCATATTTTTTTTTAAGTCATCAAGGAATTAAATTTTTGGAGATCATCCTGTGTTTCTTGTGGAAATGTAATGTCTTGTATGATTTGTTGGCGTATTACTTTATATTGTGGACATTTCATAACAAAGTGCAGTTCATCTTCTATTTCATTCTGTGTACATTGTTTGCAAATTCTACTTTCAGTAGGTATTTTTGGTTGCATTTGCCTTCTTTTTGCTATTACTAAATTGTGATTACTAGTCCGAAATTTTGTCATTGAAATTTTTTGTTTCAAACTCAACACATCCAAGTATTTTTCAAAATTATAAGAGTCTTTGAATTTTTCATAAGTTCTCAGTTTTGTGTTTTCTGTTATAATTTCCCCCCAGAAATGTATGTATTTTTGTTTGACAACTTTGCCAATTTGCTGTATATGTTTTGTTAACAAATCATTCTGTTGTTCTCGTGAAAAATTCATGTTGTTCATCATTTTTTTATTGAAGAGTACCATTGTAAATTGAATTTTTTTTGTTCAAGGTATGCTTGTGTTGTGATATTATTGTCTGGTGATTTATTGATACGAATCCAGTATTTTATTAAATTGATCTGAATATCTACTAAGAGTGGGAATTCTCCTACTTCGGCTCTGCATATATGAAAGCCTTCGTCAACTAAACAACGAGCAATACTATACTAAAATTAGTGGTAACGATACCATAGTTACAACGAATTTGGTCCATGAGCTCGTTACAGAAATGTACAATCTGTAACTAATCGATTTTTATACTAAATTGTATAATGAAAGTAATAACGTCGAACATTCTGAAAGCTAAATAAATCGAACGATTCGGTCAAGTACTGTTCCGACTGATGAAGGGTTCAACAAACAACCCGAAACAGCACCATCACACATGTGAATAATCCAATTACAGATAAATTCAGGGGTCTGAAAGTTTCAGATTTTTTTTTACATGCATATAGTGTGGGATTTTTGTTTCAATCATTGTCATAGAATTTTTTGTTCACAAAATCTTCCTGGCCCCCAGGATATCAATTGGTCTTCCACTAACGATGAGATTCTGTGCTACTTCCTGTTATTATGCACTTGAACTTGGTATTGTGTTATAACCGTAGAACTAACATGTATACCTTCCTATCTACTGTATGAGCAAGCATAGATAAAATGACTGAAGATTTTATGTTTTTTAATAAGATTTGGCGTTCCTGAAAATTAGCCCGTGTTGAGCACTGTTCCCTTCCGTACGTGGACGCAATCATGTATATCCGACATGCAAACATAGAAGATAAGATTCATGTAGCGTGGACACTGCTAATAAATCTGTGTGTTTTAATCCATCATGACTCGTACATAAATATTATTTTCCCCAGTGGTCAATTGCTAGTCGCCAAAGAACTTTTTGTTCCAGTAACTTGTTTTTTCCCCAGATCTGGTGTGTAGTACCGGCTGGAAACTTTCATTTCCGCTGTTTGATTATTCATTATTAGAATCATCTGACAGTGGGTCCTTATCGTAGCTCTGAATACTAATATAACGTAGGTTTCTAACATGTCATTCAATGTAAATACAACTGCTAATGAGTAATAAGAATAAGTATTTGTTGAGGCAACACAGTCAATCAGACTGTGCATAAAATCTCGGTTACGTTTACTGTGTCGTCACGAGGCTTGCATTGCACAAACAAATGCGACTCCCTGCCGAGATTACTGTAACCCTCCCCTCAACACTTTCACGAAAATCAGTGTCCCGCCCACAAAAAGATCGACCTACCCCTTATGTGCTTTCTGCTAAAATGTTGGGTAGTTGACGTTCTGCGGATAAATAAGTTTTCGCATTGCCGTCTTTAAAGAGTTTGAGCATAGGACAGAGCCTGCGCATGCGTCCGAGGACTCTTCTGGGCCTGTCCTCCTGTCAACTATTTTGCCCAAAATTCGTAATAGGAGATGTGGAACATGTCCTTATTATCAAATACAATGATACTTATATAATAGTTTAATAGTGATTAGCTAAGGAGTTAAACAATGTCTACACCAAAAATGCGCGCGCATGCCTTCCAACATGCATTTTGTTTTATAAAAATGTATATAAATAAAACTTTAATAACGACCCCAGATTTATGCTTTTCACTGAAATAATTTAATTCAAAAATGGGCACAATAGTATTGAAGATTATTACTAAATTAGATAATTCTGGCTATATTTGAGAAGTTTCTTTCTTATTTTTATTTTATTTATTTTTTCGTCTGGTGTAAATGATTCATTTGTATTTTTGTTTCTTGACTGGTTATTGAGTTCGTGTAATACTTTCCGGGATTTATGTTAATAAAATATCTTCCCGTGAAAAGACCCCGAATTTTACGTGATGTGTTAAAACTTTTATTTAGAAACTTACTGATTTCTATGCCATCTGTCGATTATTAGACTGCTGGACATTTACAGTTACTATTCTTTTATTCCAAATATAGTTAGATAGTACAGGTGTTACACCATATGCGCTTCTTTTCATGCAATGTTCCAATAGGAGAATGCCTACAATCCACTGGCTTGACTTTGCTGCCCTCGCCGACTAGTTTGATAATTTGTTTTCGCGCATGCTCAAGTCTTTAACCCTTGACCTCAAAATTCAGTATTGTTTCTATGATCGATCCGTTCGGGAACACATAAAATGCCTGGTAAGTAAAGCTTTCTGGATCAACTGGGAAGTCTTGATTAGATTTTATTCTGTGTAATTATCATTCCTTTGCTCTGTGTCTGTGTCTAGTATGTTTAATGGTATTTTCCCGCTGACGCGGGATTATAAACATTGTCATAACAGTTGCCACTGTCGCGTTACTAGGGACGTTAACTGACGCCTGTACCCGGCTTGTTGTTTGCTCGGTATAAGCGTGATGCGATGGGCTGGTTATATATATACTGTCGATCCTGACCACAAATTGGATCAACGGTTTTGAATTATTCTGATATAATAAATGACCAAAACCTGAATCTGTAACAGTAAACACCACTCGTGCTATTGTGGCCCACGACAGTAAACATATCTCGACATGCTATGTGTCAAAACGTCTGTTACACCACAGTCCTTCAGTGTTGAGGTACATTTATTATAGATCTCAGTTATACATACATGCAGAATTGCTCTGAAAATAAGGTGGTGAGGTATCTTTATATATTTATTTATTTATTTTCCCTTTTGACACAATTTAGAAAATGTAGTGGATGCCGCAACTGATTAAACTCAACTTGGCATTCTTATTGACCCCAAAACTGTCACTTATGTATTTTATATATATATATATATATATATATATATATATATATATATATATATATATATATATATAGGATAGACGAGTAGAAACAAAAATCAGAAATTTTGTTTGTGATATACAGAAGATGCCATGCATTACTGCAGTACAAAGTGACACAATGTGATAGGGAGCCTAACATTTCTTTTTATACATGAACATTAACTTCATATACATTTATTCCTCTATGGTAGTTTTTCTATGGTATTCACAATAATATGTGTGAATTTCTAGGCACTGGTGGAAACCATTATGTTATCGAACAGTTCAGCTGTTCAGTACATTTTATCTTCAGAAAAATAGACAAATATTTGTGGCTAATTTGTGCAAGAAATGTGATATGGACATGCATATATAGTAAGTGATCACCTTTTACATTTCAGCTACAAAATATTTGACGAGTGTGCATGATGCCGTGAGAAATGGAGATGTGTTGGAACTGGAATCCATGGTGAAGAGAGGAGCCAGTATCAATGAAGTGGATGCTAAAGACAAATTTACTCCACTTCATTGGTCCTGTCATTCCGGTAGTTTAGAGGTATGTATATACAGCATTGCCATAGTTACTATCAGTATCAAAACCAAATAAAATATTAGAATAATTTGTATATGATCATTTTCATTAGTCAAGAAATGAATGAAAAAAAAAATGATGAATCTTATTGTAATGCAATCTAATAAATTATAAATATGTATTTGTAACCCCATCACCATAGTAAATTTGTTATGTCACTTATATTCAGTCAGTATAATATTTTATATTTTTTTTTATTGTGATTGTTTCATATTTTAATGATTCAGCATACAACAAATATGATTTTTTGTTTATATGCGCTTTTAATAGAACTAATATTGTACCTATAGTATTAAATAGTCATAGAATAGTGTATTATCTAGATGAACCATTAAATGCTAGGTTTCTGTATTAAGCATACATACATGTCTATATGTTCTTTGATACATTGATGTACATATATGATTTGTGTTTGTGTTTTATCAGTGTTTACATTGGTTGTTATGGCACGGTGCAGATACCACAGTCACCACTCCTCAGGGCTGGACTCCAGCACATATAGCTGCAATCAGAGGACAGGACGGCTGTGTACAGGTTAGATATTAACTTATTTAATTGTTATACCTTATTAATAGTATGTAAAAGAGACTGAATACTAATCTACTATATTGCTCAAACTCTAAAACTTAAATGTATATTTACTGTTGATCTATGAACCAATATTATGGCTGAAGGTAGATATGTGAAGATAATTATATAGATTAGCATATGAATTCAGATTTAAACAGTACTGTCATATAAACATTTGGTAATACAAGACAATGTCATCCCAAAATGCAAACTTACATACATGGTTATTAAATTACAGCATACTTCTGTGTGATTGTTAATATATGTGAGTCAGTGTGATCAGATTATTTTCGCCAAAATCTGCACACATGGTTTTGTTTATAATGAAT